GTGCTGCTGAGGGGACAAAGAGAGGGGATAAAGGTGTCACTCGGAGCTCAGATTTCCCAAAAACCTCCCAAAACTGAGCCCCAGGATGTCCCTTCCCCGGGACAGGAGGACTCAAATTCAACACCTCCAAATTCTGAGTTTTTCTGCTGCTGAGGGGACAAGAGAGGGGACAGAGGCGTCACTTGGAGCTCAGATTTCCTAAAAACCTCCCAAAACTGAGCCCCAGGATGTCCCTTCCCCAGGACAGGAGGACTCAAATTCAGGCACCTCCAAATTCAGTTTTTTTGCTCAAAACCTGATGGCTTTTGTGCTGCTGAGGGGACAAAGAGAGGGGATAAAGGCGTCACTCGGAGCTCAGATTTCCCAAAAACCTTCCAAAACAGAGCCCCAGGATGTCCATTCCCCGGGACAGGAGGACTCAAATTCAGCACCTCCAAATTCAGAGTTTTTTTGCTGCTGAGGGGACAAGGAGAGGGGATAAAGGCGTCACTCGGAGCTCAGATTTCCCAAAAACTTCCCAAAACTGAGCCCCAGGATGTCCCTTCCCCGGGACAGGAGGACTCAAATTCATCACCTCCAAATCCAGAGGTTTTTTGCTCAAAAACCTCCCAAAACAGAGCCCCAGGATGTCCATTCCCCGGGACAGGAGGACTCAAATTCAGGCACCTCCAAATTCTGAGTTTTTTTGCTCAAAACCTGATGGGTTTTGTGCTGCTGAGGGGACAGAGGCGTCACTCAGAGCTCAGATTTCCCAAAAATCTCCCAAAACAGAGCCCCAGGATCTCCCTTCCCCGGGACAGGACTCAAATTCAGGCACCTCCAAATTCAGGTTTTTTTCTCAAAACCTGATGGGTTTTGTGTTGCTGAGAGGACAAAGAGAGGGGACAGAGGAGTCACTCGGAGCTCAGATTTCCCAAAAAACCTCCCAAAACTGAGCTCCAGGATCTCCCTTCCCTGGGACAGGACTCAAATTCAGGCACCTCCAAATCCTGAGGTTTTTTGTTCAAAACCTGATGGGTTTTGTGCTGCTGAGGGGAGGAGGGGACAGAGACGTCACTCAGAGCTCAGATTTCCCAAAAACCTCCCAAAACAGAGCCCCATAATGTCCATTCCCCAGGACAGGAGGACTCAAATTCAGGCACCTCCAAATCCTGAGGTTTTTTGCTCAAAAACCTCCCAAAACTGAGCCCCAGGATGTCCATTCCCCGGGACAGGAGGACTCAAATTCAAGCACCTCCAAATTCAGTTTTTTTTGCTCAAAACCTGATGGGTTTTGTGCTGCTGAGGGGACAAGGAGAGGGGATAAAGGCGTCACTCAGAGCTCAGATTTCCCAAAAACCTCCCAAAACAGAGCCCCAGGATGTCCCTTCCCCACGACAGGTGGACTCAAATTCAGCACCTCCAAATCCGGAGTTTTTTTGCTCAAAAACCTCCCAAAACAGAGCCCCAGGATCTCCCTTCCCCAGGACAGGAGGACTCAAATTCAGGCACCTCCAAATTCAGAGTTTTTTTGCTCAAAACCTGATGGCTTTTGTGCTTCCCGAGCCCTTTGTTCTGCAGATCTGCCCTCCCTTCCCAGAAAATCGCCCAAATTACACCCCAGACTTAGACTTAGTCTGAGTTACACCCCAGAGTTAGACCCCAGGTCTTTTCCCAATCCAGACCAGTTCCCACTGCTCTTTCCCAATTCCAGACCAGTTCCCATTGCTCTTTTCCCATTTTAGACCAGTCCTGATCAGTATTTTCTGANCCCCCTGTCTCCACTCACTATATTTACTCTCATAGTTGTAGTCAGAGCCTCCGCCGGGCGAGTTGTACGAGTTGGAGTAGGAGTAGCCACCCTGGCCGTGGCCGTAGCCTTTCTGCTTGCCCTGCCCGGGGCCGTAGCYGCCGTACTGGCCCTGCCCGTAGGGCTGCTGGCCCTGGTGGCCGGTGTAGCCCGAGCCGTAGGAGGATTTTTGGCCACCTCCGTGCTGCTGTTTTTTGCCACCGCCGTGTTTGGGCGGGGCCGGGGCGGTGTAGCCGTCCCCGCCCTGGTAGTAGGAGCCGTAGCCCGAGGAGCCGCCGCCGCCACCGCCGCCGGAATTGGAGTGGCCACCGTTGCTGTAGAACTGGCCTGGGTGGAGAGAGGAGGGGAAGAGGGGTCTCAGTTTGGCCCCAGTTCAAGCCCAGTATGGCTCCAGTATGACCCCAAGATCAACCCTAGTTCAGCCCCAGTTCAGACCCAGTATGGCTCCAGTTCAACCTCAGCATGGCCCCAGTTCAACCCCAGTATCGCTCCAGTTCAGACCCAGTATGGCCCCAGTATGACCCCCAGATCAACCCTAGTTCAGCCCCAGTTCAGACCCAGTAGGGCCCCCAGATCAACCCCAGTATGGCTCCAGTTCAGACCCAGTATGGCCCTCAGATCAACCCCAGTATGACCCCAGATCAACCCCAGTATGACCCCAGATCAACCCCAGTATGGCTCCAGTTCAGACCCAGTATGGCCCTCAGATCAACCCCAGTATGGCTCCAGATCAACCCCAGTATGGCCCTAGTTCAACTCCAGTATGACCCCAAGATCAACCCTAGTTCAGCCCCAGATCAACCCTAGTTCAGCCCCAGTTCAGCCCCAGTATGGCGCCAGTTGAACCTCAGTATGGCCCCCAGATCAACCCCAGTATGATCCCAGATTAACCCCCGTTCAGCCCCAGATCAACCCTAGTTCAGCCCCAGTTCAAGCCCAGTATGGTTCCAGTTCAGCCCCAGTATGGCCCCAGTTCAACTCCAGTATGGCCCCAGATCAACCCTAGTTCAGCCCCAGTTCAGCCCCAGTATGACCCCAGATCAACCCTAGTTCAGGCTTAATTCAGCCCCAGTTTAACCCCACTTCGGCCCCAGTTCAGGCCCAGTATGGCCCCAGTTCAGCCCCAATATGGCCCCAGTGCAGCCCCAGTATGACCCCAGATCAACCCTAGTTCAGGCTTAATTCAGCCCAGTTTAACCCCAGTTCAGGCCCAGTTTGACCCCAGTTCAACCCCAGTTCAGCTCCAGTTCGGCCCCAGTTCAACCCTAGCTCAGGCTCAGTTCAGCCCCAGTTTGACCCCACTTCAACCCCAGTTTGACCCCAGTTCAACCCCAGTTTGACCCCAGTTCAACCCCAGTTTGACCCCAGTTTGGCGCCAATTCAGCCCCAGTTTGACCCCAGTTCAACCCTAGTTCAGCCCCAGTTCAGCCCCAGCATGGCCCCAGTTGATTAAAACACCTCGGGGTTTCCTTAAAAACCAAGAAATCCTTTCTATAAAAAAAAACCCCCAAAACTTCCACTCCCTTGATCTTTTTTCCTGGGAATTTTGAGTTGGGATTTTGGGTGGAAAAAGGGCACTCACTGTAACCGGCGGTGGCRGAATTCCCTCCGTAACCGTAGCTCCCGTACCCGGCCCCTGGACAGGAAGAAAATGTTGGAATAAATAGAAATTCTGAGGATGGAATTGCCTCGAGACAAGAGAAGGAGGGTTCTGGAATATCCAGGAGTTGTGGATATGATTCCAGAGAGGATTTTGGGGGGTTCTGGGATATCCAGGAACCACAGAAATGACACCAGAGGGGATTTTGGGGGGTTCTGGAATATTCAGGAACCACAGAAATTACACCAGAGGGGATTTTTGGGGGTTATGGAATACCCAGGACCCACAAACACAATACCAGAGAGAAATCTGCAAGATTCTGGAATACCCAGGAACCACAGAAATGACACCAGAGGGGATTTGGAAGTTTCTGGAATACCCAGAAACCATAAACACAATACCAGAGAGGGATTTAGAAGTTTCTGGAATACCCAGGACCCACAAACACGATACCAGAGGGGATTTTGTGGGGCTTGGGAAGATTCAGGAACCACAGAAATGACACCAGAGGGAATCTGGAAGGTTCTGGAATATCCAGGACCCACAGACACAATACCAGAGAGGGATTTAGAAGTTTCTGGAATACCCAGGAACCACAAAAATGACACCAGAGGGAATTTTTGGGGTTCTGGAACATTCAGGAACCACAGAAATGACACCAGAGGGGTTTCGGGGTGGGGGGTTATGGAATATCCAGAAGCCACAGAAATTATACCAGAGAGGATTTTGGGGGGTTCTGGAATACCCAGGAACCACAAACACGATTCCAGAGAGGATTTTGGGGGGTTCTGGAATACCCAGGAACCATAAACACAATACCAGAGAGGGATTTGGAAGATTTTGGAATACCCAGGACCCACAAACACAATACCAGAGGGGATTTTGGTGGGTTCTGGAATATCCAGGACCCACAAACACGATACCAGAAAGGGATTTGGAAGATTTTGGAATACCCAGGAACCACAGAAATGACACCACAGAGCAATTTAGAAATTTCTGGAATACCCAGGACCCACAAACACGATACCAGAGAGGGATTTAGAAGTTTCTGGAATACCCAGGACCCACAAACACGATACCAAAGGAGGTTTTATCCCCCCCAGGGAGGGTTCCAGGGGTCTCAGCCCCCCCAGGAGTGTTGCTAGCCCTCACCTGTGTTCATGTAGCCACCGTGGTTGCCCCCGAAGCCGCCTCGGCCTCTCCCCCGGCCCCTCATGTTGCCKCCCCGGCCTCGGCCCCGCATGTTGGGGGGTGGGGGGGCCTCGTTGTGCATGGGGCCCCCTCCCATCCCAAATCCTGGGTTGTGCTGCTGAGGGGACAAAGAGAGGGGATAAAGGCGTCACTCGGAGCTCAGATTTCCCAAAAAACCTCCCAAAACTGAGCCCCAGGATGTCCATTCCCCGGACAGGAGGACTCAAATTCAGCACCTCCAAATTCAGTTTTTTTGCACAAAACCTGATGGGTTTTGTGCTGCTGAGGGGACAAAGAGAGGGGACAAAGGTGTCACTCAGAGCTCAGATTTCCCAAAAACCTCCCAAAACTGAGCCCCAGGATGTCCATTCCCTGGAACAGGAGGACTCAAATTCAGCACCTCCAAATTCAGAGTTATTTTGCTCAAAAACCTCCCAAAACTGAGCCCCAGGATGTCCCTTCCCAGGACAGGACTCAAATTCAGGCACCTCCAAATCCAGAGGTTTTTTGCTCAAAACCTGATGGGTTTTGTGCTTCCCGAGCCCTTTGTTCAGATCTGCCCCCCAGAAAAGGGTCAAACCCAGAGCCAGAGGCTGCTGAGTTACACCCCAGACTTAGACCCCAGGTCTTTTCCCATTCCAGACCAGTTCCAATTGCTCTTTTTCCATTTTAAACCAGTTCTGATCAGTATTTTCTGACCTCATCCCAGTTCCCATTGGTCTTTTCCCATTTAAACCAGCCCTGATCAGTGTTTTCTGCCTCGTCCCAGTTCCCATCAGCCTTTTCCCACTCCAGAGCAGTGGGATTGGGGATTTCACTCACTTTGACTGGGAATTTGGGGCCGCCCCTGGCCGGAACGGGGGCTCTTTTCTTTTTGTTCTGCTCGATGGCGACGGGAGCGTCCGGGAACAGCTTCTCCAGCGCGGCCAGCGCCGCGTAGGCTTTGGCCACCTTCTTGTTGGAGCCAGCACCTTGGAATTTCTGCCCGTCCACTTCCACCTGGGAAAGGGATGGAATCACTCAGATAAGCAGGAAAAGATGGGAACACCTAAAGGAATCCCAGAGCTGCAAGCTTTGCGTTTTTTATTATATTTTTTTTAAACCCTGCGCAGCTTTAAAGCGTTTTTCCCAACCCAACCCATTTGAGGATTAAAACTCTTAGGATGGGAATGAAGCTCCTTCCCAAGCTCTTTTCCCACCCCAARGGCTCAGGATCAGAGCTCCAGGAAGGACAGGAGGTGTTGTTGTCCCCTCACCTCCATGACAAAGCGTTTGTCGTGGCTGCCGCCCGTCTCTGAGATCAGCTCGTACTTGAGCCCGCGCCGCTTCTCGTTCAGCTCCATCACCGGGTTCTTGCCGTGCTTTGTCAGGATTGGTCCCTGCTGCTTCACRTTCTGCACGTGGACAAAGAGAGGATGAGCCCCAAAAAGCCCCTGAGAACACAGAGCTGCTTCCCAATTTTTTTTTTTAGGAAGGACCAGCAAAAAGCCACATCMGCCTCGTGTTTTAGCCACGAGTGACCCCAGAAATGACACCGCTGTCACACCCTGGTGGCACACAGCATTTCCCCCTCCCCGTGTGTCCTCACCCACCTCAGGGGTCTGATCCAAGGGGGGTGAAGCTGCTGTGGGCGTTGACACCGTTTCCACCACGGGTGGTGGAGCCACCACCACCGGCTTGGTCTCCGTCTCCTCGGCCGACTCGTCGCCCTTGCYGGAGTCTTTGCCTTCCACTCCGGTGGGCAAACCCATGTCCTGCAGCACCTGCAGAGGGGAGGGAGTTCAGGAGCTGCTCTCCAGCCCCATCCATGGGGGAAAATATTCCAGGAAAGCTGCTCTGGGCTGTTTATTGACTCTGGCACTCGGGATTCCCGAATCCCGCTCAGGGCTGGGAGCTGCTGGTGCTGCTCCCACC